TCTGTTTTCTTCGAGTGAATTAAAGTACATTACATTTTCAGTAAAACTGTAGATTTTGATATTCAAGGGGTTGGAAGCAGTTGAGAAGATACCACCGAAACAAAAGGGATCCATTTTATCCTGCTCCTATTGTCGTTCTTGAATTTATCAAATTCATGAAGGAGAATCCGTGTATATAATAAGACCCATCTGAGTACAATAAAGTTCTCCAAGATAAGGAATGAATCCCCAAGGATACTTGGAAGCTGGTAGAGGAGAAGAAGGTGAAGCAGAAGATGAACCAGTGCAATGCAGTGCAGAGATGAACAAAGGAAAGAGAAACTGAACACAACCTATAAAAGACTACACTGGACAGAGAAGTGAAGGAGAGTGCACGGAAAGATAAAAGACACTTCTACGACACACTTGCAAGTGAAGCAGAACAGGCTGCTGGTAGGAGAGACAGAGACCCGACAACACTATATCAAATAAACAGGTTACTTACTGTCTGGGAGGGAAGAGATCAACACAGATGAGACGAATGAGGGATAGTGAAGGAAGCCTAGTTGCCAAGGAGGAGAAACAAAGGAAACATTGGGCCCAGCACTTCAAAAAGCTCTTGAATCGACCACCACCACATTCAACAGAAATACCACCAGCAGCCAAGCCACAGAACTACCAGTGAACATAAGCCATCCGACGAAAGCAGAAGTAAAGTCCTGAACGCCATAAAGTTGCTGAAATCCGAGAAAGCAGCAGGACCAGATGGAATTCTACCACAAACACTGAAAACAGAGGCAGAGACGATAGCGGACATGCCCACACCACTACTGCGGAAGGTTTGGAAGGAAAGGTACCTGTGAAGAAGAGGTGCCTTGTCGAACTCCCAAAGAAGGGAGACCTAAGTATTTTCAAGAACAACTGATGCAGAAAGATGCTGCTGTCCACACTCATCCAGCATCGTTTCAACTACAGGTGGCACAGGCACAGATGAGGATGTCAAAGCCAGGATAAGAGAAGCGAGACAGGCCTTCATTGATCTGAATCAGTGTGGAGATCTACTGCACTCTACTCAGCATAAAGGGTGAACAAGATCCGGGTTTTCAACACTTATTCAGTCAAGTTAATGATTCTATGTGATGGTTGAGAGACTTGGGGTGTTACAAAAAGCATTTACAACAAACTACATACATTCATCTATAGCTGCTGTCTACGCCCACTCGATACTGAACATCAGATGGCAAGAATAAAAAAAGAATAAGCTACAAGGAACTGTGGCTGGGCAACGAACTAACCAAGAACGTATCGCTTGAAAACTATCGTTTTGAAAAAGATATTCATCATTGTCCCTAACTTAGACTCCCATTACTTAGGATACAACCGCAGTAAATATATCTTTCATAAAGTTGTGACTCACTAGTCCAGACAGTTAAATTTAAGCCAGTAAGCCATGGGTTCTATTCCCGTTCCTTCTGCTGTTTTATACACCTAGGGAGTTTTCATTAGCTCCAACACCTTAAACGTGACTCATTGTTCAGTATTTGAACATTGACGTCCCTGTCAAGAGTGGTTTCGTATACTGACACCTTTCTTCGTATGAATATTATTTAAGTCTCACTGGTTATTAAGCTTCCTATAATATTGAAGCTGTGATTTTCGGGATCAAACTATCTAATAACGATGCGCCTAAGTAGAAGTACTAGCAACTTATGTGAAGACCAGGATCAGTAAAGCGAAAGGCACTTTTTAAAAGCCTACTATGCTTTTGGGTTCAACAGACTTATTGGAACAAACCTTTACAGGTAGCGAAAGTGATATTAAAATCAAATTTGACAGAAAACAAACCAGATGGGGTATTATGTTGGGATCAATCAAAGACAACTATGACTCCTTCTGCAGATACCATAAGTTGCCTCTATGTATCAGCGAAAGTTTTCTTGTCTAGAGTTTACAAAAAATAGTGATTTTACTGAAAATTATGCGAAACTGGGGTGTGAAGGAAAACGTCAGAAACGTAGGAATCTGTATAAACCAACTATGGAAAAGGGACACAGTATATGTCGATGAAGGACACTCATCTTTGACCGCATTCTCAAACAGAGCTTCTAGAAGTCAGTAGTCTTAAGTATGTGGAACTGGAGGATTTCAGTGACGTTTTATCAACATTAGTAATGGGTCTTCAGTCTCTACCTCCAAGGATAGTCGATAAGTTGACTTACTTCAACCCTTGCTTTAAAGATGCACACAAAGATGCAATTTCTGGCTTCATGTGTTTTCTGTGAAAATTATTACTACTTGTATGGGCAAGAAATTCTTGTCAATATAACTTTTGTGCTACAAGTGGATTTTTACACTTCATTTAGACTACAATTTGAGAAAAAAAATGGCCATGAAGGTAATAAGATATAGATTGAGGGAGAAAACAGGACTTATCGATATCCAAGACTTTATTTGCAATAAAAACTGTTGATGTAAAGTAATTTCTTTCCTAATAACAAGACAGCAGTAATATTATTGGTTTTTCTAGTATCTTCTCATAAGAGACTCTGAAGAATTCACTCATTGATCTTTACCTATTCTAATATGAGCAACTTTCATTTCAAGTTATGGAATTGTTTTATGAATGTAGTGCTTCGGATGAAATTGAACTTTTGAAGGGCAAGATGTTGTCAAAAATTTCCTCTTGCAAATTGTCGGTAAGCTGTGCTAAGAGACCGTAGTGCCCGGAACCCGTTTGTAGTAGCTACATTACTATACGTTGATATCATCAGGTTGCAATGTGCTTCCTTTTTGTACTTCTGCTTAGCAGTTTGTCGAGAACCTCTTTATCTGTAAATTATGATAATCAATTTATCGGTCACAGTACTAGCAAAAGATATTACTAGTGAACAACTTGAGTAGTTAAAATTCACTCAGACTGATCTGTAGCATTTCGCGGCCACGGTAATACTTCAATATCGAATCCTATAAAGAAGTCACAAGTTGGTGGAAATCGGCTATTTAGTGCATCTTCTTCTTGTCAGTATGAGTTCATGCCAAAAATTTATATGCATCTTATTTGATGATTTCTCAAGAAATGAGGTCTTTCGTTCTTCATGATAGGGTAGTTACATTTTATTACATGAAGGTAGGAACTGGAGTAACTGAATGAATTTGATTTTGTAGCAAGGCAGTCTTGGTATCAATATGTGCAAGGTTTTTCTGCAATCTAGCCTAAAGTCTGTTGCTTACCGATTTTATAACAGCATACATACATCAAATATATTGTGATCACTAATAAACTTAACATCTAAATTTAAGCAGTGAGTATATATCGTAATTTGTGAAAGAGTCAATCTATTAGTCAACAAACATTCTCTTACTACATTTCTGTCTCTAAAACAACAATAGTACAACTTTTCATAATTATGTTAACAACCACGTCGAAAAGGGTGACCTTTTCCTCTCAATGCTATAAAATCGAAACTATGGAATACTGATTAGTTCACAGTCAGGTAAAAAATCTTATCTGATTTTGATTTCTTAATTTTGCCTACATAAGCATATCCGTTTAATCTAAGAAAACAAACTTCAGAAAAAGCAACTTTTTGAACAGGTTTGTGATTGCTTCATTTGAGTCAATCGATGAATGTAAAAGGTAGTTACAGGGTATGCCAAACAGAAAGTCTTTCTGATTGCTACAGCGTTCTCTATTGAATCTAGTTATCGTGAACAGAATCTATTGAGAAGAACAAAGGTCACAATCTTGGAACTATTTTGGCCGCATATTATTTTAATGAATTTTTAAGGAATAACTAAGAAATTTTGCGGTTGTACATATTTTGGTTCATTGCTAAGAATAGTTACTTCTTAAAATAAGTTTTTAGTTTTTATGATGTATTAAATCACTTGTACCGTCAGGAAACAACTAAAAGTTTGCAAAAATAGTTGTTACAATTACACATATAGTGAAAATACCACTCCTTAGGAGAGTTTGATGCATTTTTCTTATAAATTGGTCCAGATGCAAGGTGACGAGCAACTATGACAAGGTGAAAGTATGTGAGACAGAAAATTCATACTTGGAGGAAACGCTGTTCGGAGGATATCTTATAAATAGGACTTTAGTTTTTTGATACTGTGAAATCAAGTCTATGAATCGATAGAAAAACTATCATCTAATGAACATAGACAAAGAATCATCTGGTGAACAAATTATCTTCACAGGTGAAGATTTGGATATGAAGAAGAGTCCATGTAAGCTCCCATGTTATAAGAAGCCCATCTTGATGATGGTTCATAGATTTGAAAGGAAGTATCAGACACTGTGCTGTTTATCTTAAGAATATTCAGCACTCACAAAACAACATAATTATGATGGATAGAGGCTTGCAGTGGAATCCGGGACATGCGTTTCGCCCTATTTGTGATTCGTCGGCTGGATGTGCCTGCCTCAGTGAGTGCTGTTTCCACTAAGACTGGTGCCTGGTACCTTACGTTTCAAACTGCAGAGCGTTACCCACTAGGACATGAAGTCACGACGAAACAATACAAGCAACATCATACGAAACAACACTCCTAATTTTACTCACAAAATGGACTTTTAATATGTTGCGTAAGAAAGAGTTGAATGATGCGGGTGTGATGAAAACATAGTTGTTAAATCATCAGAATTTTTATTTTTAGCAAAAAATTAGTCTTGATGAAAAATAAAGAGACAAAAGGAAGGGCTATTCTAGTTTCAGCAGTAATGCCCTTTTAGATGAAAAAGTCTATTATTTGGTCATAACAATTGTTGAACAATTAAGTAATATATCATTTTTACTTGAAAAGCAGCGTGGAAAGACGTCATTTGAAATAAACTTCAAATTAAACAGAATACAAGCAGTCCTTTAATCAAAATCAGAGCTGTAATACTAAGAAACTGAATAATGCTTAGGTTAGTTTCATTTTCTATTCAAAGAATCAACTCCAAAACAATAGTTATTAAAAATGAAAGTGAAATGACATCAAGATTTTTTTTAATTTTGAAGAAGCATAATTTAACCACCCGTGTTCTTCGATTTTATGGAGTCTATATCACGCTTCAATTGACAGACGGCTAGCGGCCCACAAAGGCATGAAGTACAAAAATCATTCATTAAAGTACCCTAAAAGAAAATGAAAATGATATCGTTCTTCATTAAAGGCTTCTAATCTGTCTTTTATTGAAATTATTTGAAATTTACAAAAATGAATTCGATCTCAAGCGTCATTTTTATATTATATTTAAGTTATGAACAATACAGGAAAAGCCAGATGACAGAATTGCTGTTTAATGAACAGAAAACTACTCATGGTGTAATAAAAACATAGTCTGTATTTCACTTTAGAAAACGGTTCAGTCTACATTATTGATTTGATGCTATGATGACTGCTATAAAATATGCAACTGTTCTAGATATACATCTGTTTGGTTCAGGAAGAGAGATATTTTGTGGTATTAGGGGTGATTCTTAAATACTTATTGGTGAGTTGTTGATTAGTCCTTGCTTTTTGGCAACAAGATTACGAGTAATGCGAAATCAATTTACTAAACCTTCTCATACCATCAATACTAGTTAATGATGTAATCTGAAGGCTGATAAAAAAGGTATCTATATTTTTGTATTCCTCTGGTTAGTCTGGTAGTTTTGGTGATAAAGACAAATCAGAAGCAAATTATCCATAAATAGTCTGCTTCTTAAGTCTACATTTATGAAATGGGATTAGTTATTTCCAAAAAGAGTTTCTTTAGGTCTACTGTTTGTTTCATTTAAGTTCACTGATTAAATGAAAAAAAATCTATTCATCAAATTTGGGCGACTATCTAAATTAGCCATTGTGTTTTAGACTCACATCATTCACACTAGGTGTTGATTAGAGGCGAAATGAAAATATGGGTCGCTGCAGGATTCTACCCAGCAGCCTTCAGGTTATCTGCCTAATGCTGTACCAACTAAGGTCTAAGACCCGGCTGCCAATTCAATCTTAATTTTACCCCAATCCTCAAGGGTTTTGACCGATTACCATTTGAATTCGTGATACATAGCTGTCCATTTATCCCACTGACACAGGCTTCCCATTCAGATTTTCTCCCCCCTAAACCAAAATGAGCTGATTTAATAGGGGGTAGCATGATATTGGTCGTGGAAAGTATGATTATCGGAAATACCTGTGGTTCGGAAGACTAGCTTTATTGTTACTTAGTGATGACTGAATGTAGAATGGGAATCCGGGAGGGAGTAGGATTATCATTAGATAAAATACATAACTTTTATTCTTCGACGATTTATGTGATAGATGAAACAAAATGATTCATAAATGTGATGGGAGAATTCTGACTTTACACTTCGAGAATGAGTTCTAACTGATTTCACCGAATCACATTATTTTGAAAGAATCTAACTGTACAGTGGACAGATGCTTCCTTTTATTTCTAATCAGTTTCAGTTACTTATGAAGATGACCAGTTGGACAGACCTGATGGCTGTGAGGACAAATACTCAACGATGGTATTGGGTGGCAGTCGCACTATGTCGTGAACTGACAGAAGTTGAAAGTATGGTGGACATGGAACCTGGAGGGTGTGGGTTCGGCCCCTGGCGGATTCGTGGGTGCGCACAGCTGAAGAGAATCATACTAGGACGAAACAGTTGTCTAGTGTTCCCAGGTTTACAATGTTCCACCACCTGATATCAGTCTACGATGAATACCAACTTGAAAAAAATCTCGAAATCCCCACAAACCCCCCCAAGTTCATTCAATATTGCTCTATTTTATAAATAGCAAAGGCAATGAATTTCAATTTTTTGAGAAATAATCGAATTTTCCTCATTATTGAATATTTGCAAAAGACAAATGTTTACTGCTAATCTTAAAATGATAGCTGTAAACCTTGCATGATACTTAGTTATCTTCTGGAGGGACGACAAACAAGTGTAGTCATGGTTTCAAAATGTCTTCATATATCAATAGAGCAAAGGCATAGGCAGTATAAGCGTGTGAATGAAAGGTAGGTAAAGTAAAGTGAGAACTTAACAAGCTTTTACTGCTTGTCAACTAAGTGGTTTATGACTGATGTAATGAACTAAATTCACTATGATTTTCAACTTGGTTAGTTAAAATCATATTTGCTACACAGTTTTGATAATGTCAGTACCTGGTTAACCGGTTGACAAACAAGAACATATAATGACTACTTAGCGTGTTCAAACACAACTAGACGTTTTTATATTTTATAAGTTTTCAGTTGTCATAATTTGGTAAGTGGGATAAAAATGGGGTCAACTGGTATCTCATAAATATCATATTTACCGAAAGAAAGCGATTTAGTTGAAATGAGAGAACACCAAATTAAATAAATATACATGTTCAAAAGATTCGCATTATTTATTTTAAACTAGATATATTTCAGCAAAACTTCATTTGAATAACTTTTTCCATGAACTCTATGGACAGTGTTAATCTTTGATTGCCCGCGGACATATAGTACCTTGGTTCAAAGAAAGACAGTAAATTTATTTAAAGTGTGATTGCTTGCTTGACGACCATATAAAATCTGACCAGGCCACCAAAGGGATATTCTTAATGCTAAGCAATACGCATAAAATGCAAACGGCTTCTTCTGTTGTATACCACTTAAGTCATTGAAATTAATATAAGAAAGGTGGCTTTTTAATTTCAGGAACATACATCTGTTCTTTTTGCCACATTAGTCTACCGTATAATAAGATTTCGATCCGTCATCATTCAGTCCCAGAATCTTCACTCACTGGAATGAAAAAATCACTCACCACTTTGTTTGCCCCTATTTAATTCTTTCGTCGTTTAATTTTTGTTCTTTTCATTGTCATCGTCATTGCCATCAGTTATCTGTCGTCTGTACATCAAGCTTATTCCATAAGTAATACGAAATACATGTAATCCAGTTTTGAAGTCCTATCACTTTCTTTTTCGGTAGTGAAAACTTCAAACCCAAGTCGATGATACGCCCAAGACCAAGAATAATGTGTATTAAGCAAGCAAGAGATAAGCACTGACCCGCAGAAGCCACTCCTGTTAGCTATGTGTGCTAATCCCCAGTCTATTGCACTGAATATAACCAAACTATGGTTCTGTTTTAACTCTTAGTTTATTCATGCTTTCAGCTAGCTGCCTTCTTGTAAAATCCATGGATTTATAGTTGTAGGGCCTAATGCGTAAGTTACCGTTTAGGAATATTTTCTACAATATATTATTTTTTGAATCAACATAAACAAATAAACTTATGTATTACTGTTGCTAATTTCCCGCCGTTAGGTCAACGATGGGAAATTATAAGCAGTAACATAAAAGGAGAATAAAATCTTTACAAAACCTAGGGAGTGGCTAACGTGACCTAGAGGCTTAGTGGATAAGCCTGTGGCATTTGTTCCGGGTTTGAATCTTGGAAAGACCAACGTCACTCACTGGGAGGGGATTATATCCAGCTGACGAGTCCTAAATAGAAGGAAACACGAGCTCTAGATTCCTCTGCTGGCCACTATACACCATTATAAATAGATTGGTGGCTCACCTGCATACCAACTGTTAAAACATAGGCTTCAAAAACTAACCTTTATTCTGTTCGTGATACGATGTTTAATACGCAGTGGCAGAATTCCAGCGCCGAATACTGGAAGCCAGCATGATTCACCTTCCTTTTTGTATAAGTAGCACATATAGCAATGAGGGCAAAGTAAAACCAGAAAACCTTAACAAAGGAAAAAGAAAACCGAATTCAACTTAATAGGATATTATAAATGGGAGATTTAATGAAGTATTATAAGCAGAACAGCGTTCCACTTAAAAGTAGTTTCCGGTATAACAGGAAATCAGTTACGAATCTACTGAGGGAAAATGCTAAGCGTATGTATTGTATCTGAGCTCCAAATGCCTCATCCCAAACACTTATCGTACATGATGTTTGAAGTCAACTCAAAAGTTGGAAAATGCGTTTTTATTGTTTCAATAAACATGCTGTCTATGACAAATGTGAAGTACGAGTATTGCATCCCAATTAAGCAGGCAGTTTTCTACGGAAGATAAGTATTTAAGGATGATAAAGGTTGGGGAAAAAAAACTTGTTGGATTCTAAACCAGTGATGTTAGAATTATTACACTAATACTGTACTGTTTGAGTAGTGAGAAACACGCTAACTAAGTGAAAACATCACGTAATTCAACGGAAATTCCGCTTGCCTGTCATGTGAACTCATGATATAAACTGTTGGATTTTCAGTTATGGTTTCTAATTTTCATTGTATAGCCAGCTAAATGATATAGGAGAATTAAAAAATTGGTGCTCAATCGAAATTACCTCCGACTGCCTAGTCAATCATTTCTCATTCGTTTTACTTCTATTCAGTCTAGATTGTTTTAAGATGAACCTAACTGAACACTCATGTGGCAAATCAAGAGCTATCAAATATTAGTTACAGCCTCGTAAGAATTTTGGTTTCCGATCGAACAACGTTATCAAGCCTTTAAATTGATAGGTTTGTCAAATGACGTGACTTTACTTCTCATATGAAGTATCGAATACGACTATCAATAGAAGTGTATGACATTCACTATGGGCTAACTGAGTAAACAAGTCCCATGTAAGCAACGGTTCATGAGCTTACAATTTCTTACCGCACAGTTCTCAAATATGTCTGCAGTAAGCGATATGGATTTTCAGCATGTAATTTCATCGCAATTCAGACAACATTTTAAATTTACATATTAAGTAAACTTTTAATTCGGCTAGCTCAATTAGATGGGTATTTGAGGCGTTTCAAGTTTAATCAGGTCTTATTATTGTGAAGGATAAAACTGTAGTCATATTTCTTTCCTTAAGTTATCAAGCAGGTTCTAAAACTAAAGGATCAAAATTAACCTTTGGCTAATAAGTGTTTTTAACCTCGCCTGGTTAACTAGTTTACTAGTTACTAGCCGGTCCTAAGCCCGGGTATACAGGGAAGGTTCGGCATAGGGCTAGCAACCCTACCCCGTAAAACAAATCTAACCGCTAAACAAACTTCAAAGCACAAACAAAATATAAAAAATGAAAACAAACTTATTCCTCGCTCGAATCGGAGAGGCGAAATGACGCCAGTTGGTGAAAGCCTGCCTTAGGGAAGCCAATTGGCCGATGTGTCTTCGCCTCTCTCGATGAAAGCGAAAGTAAACGTGGGGACATGGAATGTCTGTACGATGTTTGAACCCAGTAAGGCAGCCCAGATTGCAAAGGAGATGAGAAGGTATAACATCGAAGTGCTTGGGATTTGCGAAAGCAGATGGAATGGGAGTGGACTCTCCAAACTGTCAACTGGAGAATCAATAATCTACTCCGATATTGTCACCCAGACGACAACGACGAGCACACTGAGTTTCAAAGTGGCTATCATGATGTCCCATTGAAGAGCATCGAAGGCTCTCTCTCATGCAGTGGGAACCAATCTCCTCCTCCACAGTCGGGATCATGACAGCAAGATTCAACTCAAAAGGAAGGAAGGAAAGTAACAATCATACAATGCTACGCTGTGCACCTACAAATAATGCAGAGCAAGAGAAAAAGGAGGAATTCTACAGACAACTTCAATCAACACTGGACAAGACGTCAGTTGGCGATATCAAAATTCTAATGGGTGACATGAATGCCAAACTGGGAGGGGACAACACGGGAAGAGAACCAACCATGGGTCGAGAGGCGCTAGGTGAAATGAATGAGAATGGAGAATTGTTTGCAGAATTCTTTGCATTCAACGATTTGGTGATTGGAGTCAGGCAGTGTGTTCAGGCACAAAGATATCCACAAAGCGACATCGATTTCACCAGACACCAGGACACACTAAAAATCAAATCGACTTTATCTCAATCTCAAGAAAATGGAGACGCAGTCTACTTAACACAAGGTCAAGAAGAGGAGCAGATGTAGGTTCAGACCACTATCTAGTGCAAGGAACCCACCTTCCAAATCAAGTTAAAAGCCTTCAAGGAAGCTGGTGATAGACCTCAATTCAAGTACAACACTCGGAAACTGAAGGATGAAACTACAAAGGAGATCTTCAAGGCAGCCATCAAGACAAAATGGGAGACATCGAGGGACATCCCTGAAGAAACCTGTGTGGAAGAACACTGGAAGTCTTTGAAAGCTATGTGGAAAGAAACCTGCACAACAGTATTAGGAAGGAAGAAGAAAGAAGATAAGGAATGGATCTCGACGGATACCTGGAAGCTGATAGAGGAGAGGAGGATGGTGAAGCAGAAGATAAACCAGTGCAAGGATGCTCAACGACAAGAGGAACTGAGCACAATGTATAAAACACTGGACAAAGAAGTAAAGAAGAGTGCACGCAAAGACAAAAGACACTTCTACGAAACACTGGCAAGTGGAGCAGAACAGGCTGCTGGTAGGAGAGACGGAGACCTGACGACATTGTATCAAATAACCAGGTTGCTATCAGGGAAGAGACCAACACAGATGAAACCAATAAAAGATGAAGAAGGAAATCTAATTACAAAAGAAGAGAAACAGAGGAAACGATGGGCCGACCACTTCAAGAAGCTCTTGAATCGACCACCACCACCACCTGCACTTCGTCCAGAAATACCACCTGCAGCCGCTGAATTACAAGTGAACATTAATCCCCCAACGAAAATGGAAGTCCTGAACGCCATAAAGCTACTGAAATGCGGGAAAGCAGCAGGACCAGATAGGATCCCGCCAGAAGCACTGAGAACAGACGCAGAGACAACAGCGGACATGCTCACACCACACCACTATTGCAGAAGGTGTGGAAGGAAGAGAAGGTACCTGGTTAGTGATTGGAAGAAGGGTTACCTTGTCAAACTGCCGAAGAAGGGAGACCTCAGTGCTTGCAAGAACTGGCGCGGAATCACTCTCCTGTCCACCCCAAGTAAAATATTAAGCCGCATCATCCTGGAGAGGCTTAAAGATGCACTGGATTCAAAACTGCGACCGGAACAGGCAGGCTTCAGGAAGTACAAATCATGTGCGGACCAAATTGCAACGCTTCGTATCATCATAGAACAGAGCGTAGAATGGCAATCAGCTCTCTACCTCAACTTCATCGACTTTGAGAAGGCCTTTGACAGCGTCGACCGAGAAGTAATTTGGAAACTGCTTCAATACTACGGAGTACCGCAAACCTTTATCCGCCTCATTCAACAACTATATGAAGATGCCACATGCCAAGTAATCCACAATGGGAAGCTCAGTGATGCCTTTGAAGTGAAGACAGGAGTGAAACAAGGTTGCCTACTATCCCCCATGATATTCCTTATTGTGGTGGACTGGATCATGCAGCAAACAGTGGGGAGCGAGAAGAGGGGGATACACTGGACGACGGAAAAGAACCTAGAAGACTTGGATTTCGCCGATGACTTGTGTTTGATGTCACATAAACTTGAAGATCTGCAGGCAAAAACTAACAAGTTGACAGAAGAGGCAGCGAAGACGGGACTTCAGGTGAATATAGAGAAGACAGAAGTGATGAAGATACCGCACCACCACCAACAACAACAAACTCCAATCACCGTCAACGGGAGAAACTTGAAGGAAGTAACCTCCTTCACTTATCTAGGAAGCACTGTTTCAACTACAGGCGGGACGGACGAGGAGTAAAGTCAGAATCGGAAAAGCAAGACAGGCGTTCATTAGCCTGAAACCAGTGTGGAGATCTTCTGCACTCAGCATCTGGAACAAGATCCGGATTTTCAACACCAACGTCAAGTCAGTGCTCTTGTATGGCTCAGAGACTTGGCGCGTCACGAAAGGGATTTCCAATAAACTACAGACATTCATCAACAACTGCTTACGCTCGCTGCTGAAGATCAGATGGCCAGAAAGAATAAGCAACAAGGAACTCTGGGAACGAACCAACCAAGAACCTATCACGCAACAAATATGCAGGAAGAAGTGGAGATGGATTGGCCATGCACTGAGAAGGCCGACTGAGGACATCACGCGTCAGGCCAGGTACTCGAGTGGAATCCCCATGGGAAGCGACGAGTTGGACGTCCGAGGGTGACATGGAGGAGGTCATGCGAGGAGGAAATGAGAGCTTGTGGGCTGTCGTGGAACCAGGTTCAAAAGATCTCAGAGAACAGAGGTCACTGGAGGCGTGCTACTGAAGCCCTATGTTCCACTAGGAACCCAAGGGACTAATAATAATAATAATAATAATAATAATAATAATAATAATAAGTGTTTTATCACTCATTCAGTTTATTATTTGTACACCATGAAGTCAGTCATGCAATGGGTTCTCCATAAGTTGTTACATTAAAGTAGATAAGACGTATGAGCACTGAAGAAAACCACACGACCAAAAGCGACGAAGAAAATAATTCTCACAGATTGCTTTCTTTTTTAACTCTAAAATTTATCTATATACCCAACAATAAAGAAATAAATGAAGACGTCAATTTTTAGCCATATTCATTTACCATTTACCACTCCGTCAGCCAAGTTTGACTATCTGTCAAATCCAAAGTGTTAGAGGTCACACACCATAAGATTAAATACCGGCATGTCTGTCTCACATTTTACTTTTTCACTTTGCCAATAGAGCCCGAATAGTTCGGTCCACTCTGCGATAGGATTACACAACCAACAACCTCAAAACTATACCCGTCACTCAGTGACTCAGTGACTCAGTGGTCTAGGGGATAACGCTTTGAAGTTTGAGGAGTCGGTTCCGAGTTCCATTCCTTGTGGGAACAACATTGCTCACTGGGAGGCATGTACATTCTGCTTAGGAATCCCAAGTAGGACGAAACGCGCGTCCTGAATTCTGCTGTTAGCCACTACCCATCGTTAATGTACTGAAGAATAGCTAAAAAAATGTCATCAATAAACACTCAAATCTTTCTGTTATTAAATGGCTAGTGGTCAATTATAGAGATCACTATGAAATCATTTTGAATCAGTTTCATATTTCCGTATATATAAAACACAAACTAGGGGAATTACTATTTCGAAAAAAACTAAACTTATCCTATAGAAGGCACTTTTAGCGTTTAAACAAACAGAACATCTGTCAGTGTGAGGCAATTACACACGTTTGTTTTAAATAAATTTTCCTAGATGATGGTCCTTGTAACCAAACATTTAATCAACCCAAAATCATTTAAAGTTATTCACAAAAATTTAACTATGAAGTTTGACAAACTTGTGAAAATTGTTTTAAACTTCCACTCTTTAGACAAAACATCCTCCTAATGGACACTCATTTCCGCTGTGTATAGAATTAGACGATAAGGAGACCAAAGAAATCAAACTTGATGATTTATCTTCTGTTTTTGGTTCACCACTATTTGTATAGAACCAAACTTCTATCGATGATATTCTTCAAAAGTTTAACCAAAAAGTACCACAAGGTTGCTTTTTGAAAGTCTGTGAACACTTCGATGTTTTCTTATAGGTAATATCATACGCAAATTTATTTGTGTAGCCTTGAGGACAATCTTAAACCATACTCTTTTGTCATCAAAGTTGCATCTCTTAGTTCATATGTTTATCATCATAGTAACAATACCGATGTTGAAGTCACTAAATTGCTTGACGGCATCTAGGGACAGGAACTAACTAAGTGCATCCATAAAATGCTTAGTGGTCTGTAGGTATGGTGAATATTTCATTCAGTATTGTGTCTTTCAATCCAAGGCTAATCAGTTAAGGATAGTTTCTTCTTCATTCTGTAAATATCCCCTCAATCCAATAGTCTGAAATAATTTCAACAAATTCTCTCAACCTATTTTGTCCCTCAAAGAAAGTAACATTATTGAGTAACATTCTCTTAAGCAGTTTTTATTTAAATTATCTATCTTAGTGTATTTCATCCAGCTCTCACAAACGCCTTTCTATTGTTTGATTAAACTATCTATCATCTTATAGCATTACCTTCGCCATCTAATCGCTTAGATAGTCAATTGTTTTGAACTGGATCCCAGTAACAATTACTTCGATCATTACCGCTCACACAAGACTTTTCTGAATTGACTTCGTCGACTGTATAGTGTTATTAACAAACTGATAAGCGAAATCTCAATATGGTAGAAGCATAATTCCTCAATACGTACACATGATTGAAAGACCGAAAGAAGAAATTATAGAAAAGAATATTCTTTGTGTCACTCAAATGGTCATTGAAATGTGTATAAATCCTTTTATTTTGTATATATTTCTGACGTTGCTATAGACTTTCTGTTATCGTACCGTCTTTTCAATTTATTGAGATACTGAGTGACCAGAAAACAGTAAAATCTGAAAGCTATTATCCAAGCGTCTACACTGACACACAAAATATATTTGTAACTCAGGTTATATTTAGAGGTGCTGACAAAGATTTAACACATTAGGATGAGGTTGTAGCAGTTTTAGAGTTCAATGAACTCAGGAAATTCCAAATTATTGATTTTTCTAATTGAAATTTAACAAAAAAACAAAAGTTCCTACATTATTTACCACTTTTTTACAGTCTGTGCATCATAGTGCAAGAAAAGTGCATTTGTCATTTTGAAAATTTCTTTGGATGAAATTTATGAATGACAACTAGTAATCATTTCAACCGTATTCTTATTTTTTCATTGTTTACGATCAGTGAGTTAAACTTACAACTTGTTAGATCATCAATGCAAGCACAGAGTCCGCTGCTCCATTCTCGTTCAAATGGCGACGCCTAGGTGGAAGCAAAAAAAGAAGATGAAAAGAAATTAAGTGTAAGATGATGCACAAAGCATTTTTCGTGAACTCTAATAATTATATATATATATGTATAATACACCTGAAAATGTTTTATTTAAGGTGAAAATAATCTATTTGTCATTTCTCAAAGATTGACTTGTTTGTTTCCGTGGTATAGTTAATTGTGAAATTACGTTTCAGTGAAGTTCAAGGTAAGAGTAGATAACTTTATTCAGTCTAATTGTTCATGGAATTGTGAAGAAAGTCACTGTTTAGCTCATGACGAAATTCATTTCACCTTGGCGGAAAATACGAAGCTTGTCATTTACTCATCAAAAATAACATCAGAGACGGTACTTTCTACAAAGAAAAAGGCCATTTAATCTTGGACTTATGTAACTACATATCTTTCAAATAGCATGTTTATCTCATCTCTACCAAGTTTGTTTTTGAAGTAACACTGTACAAATTGTTTACTTGGTGGAAAAATATGTTTGCAGTGTATGTTCTTCACTTATGGTGTGAAACAATAAACAAAAATATCCAGGAATGTTTTCGTATTAGTTATTACTCGTTTGTTTATCGAAATCATTTTTCTATCGTTTGAACCTCATTTATTGAACATGTCTGTTACTAAAAATTGCGGAGTTCATAATTAATTTCACCTGATGATAATGGACGTATTTTTGCATTCAGATATATGATATATGATAAAAGTAGTGGAAAAGTGAATTCATGAATTCAAGTGAATTCAAGTGCATAAAATTCACATAAATGTACTTTGGGAGAAAAACAACAGTATGATGATCCTGCCTGTATCAAACCTTATGATTCATATTGTGAAAAAAGGATGTGCGATAAAACAGCATAGTTGATTCATGCATCCAATTATTACTGTCTAGAAAACGTCAATATTTAACATGGTGGATAAACACATATGCCTCTGGATAAGGTTAGCGGATTGAATCATCTTTTCCCTGTAACAACTCCATTTCATGATAAACATTTTCATTAGCTGTATTCAGAAATGGAGCACAGCTTCGACTGAAAACTGCTGATCATAAACAAGGTAAAACAAAAGCAGTAGTGTCTAATGATGGCTGAGTTATCTGATAAATCCTTATTTTTACCTGTGAAGTAATGAGTGTATGTGTACTGAGAGCAACTTATAGACGAGATGTCATGCATTTACTATTGATAGTTTCAGTATATTAAATTATCCTTCATTTAATCGCTTTCTGTTCAACAGTAACACATACTTTACATGAAATTAAGCTATGGATACAAGGGTTATTTGCTGATTAAGAATGCAAAATAATGTAACATCGATCTCATGCTATCTGCTAGTATTTAGTTTGCAGATGCTGACATTGCATGTTTCAATGTGAAGGCAAATCGGTTATGGTAATGTGGTAGTACAATCGAGTTGTTACAAATGTTCGGATAAAAGTCCCTGAATATCTTTTTTTAACCAATACTTCCCAAATAATTTTTTGATCATCTGTTTAATACACAGATTTATTAACAATGTTGGCTTTATTATGCAAGTGACAATTGTGATATTTTCTCATTGAGATCTTCATCTAAGTTTCTTTAGGACCAACAAACTCCGAAACTACAGGTTTAATCTTGGTTGATCGCCTCTGGCAAGTAAATGAAATAAGCTCTGATATTTTGTTACTGTCCTAGATGCTATTTAAAGTTTAACATCACTGTATAAAGTTAACTAAATGCTATAGAAAATCTGAATTGTATTTAAATAAAATTGACTATTAATATATATAGCTATAAAACTTGGGCACTGTGGTAAAATTTAATTCCATATTAGATTTGTTTATTTGATTTATAACACAGTAATTTACTACTAACCTCGCCCGGTTAACTAGTTTACTAGTTACTAGCCGGTCCTAAGCCCGGGTATACAGGGAAGGTTCGGCATAGGGCTAGCAACCCTACCCCGTAAAACAAATCTAACCGCTAAACAAACTTCAAAGCACAAACAAAATATAAAAAATGAAAACAAACTTATTCCTCGCTCGAATCGGAGAGGCGAAATGACGCCAGTTGGTGAAAGCCTGCCTTAGGGAAGCCAATTGGCCGATGTGTCTTCGCCTCTCTCGATGAAAGCGAAAGTAAACGTGGGGACATGGAATGTCTGTACGATGTTTGAACCCAGTAAGGCAGCCCAGATTGCAAAGGAGATGAGAAGGTATAACATCGAAGTGCTTGGGATTTGTGAAAGCAGATGGAATGGGAGTGGACTCTCCAAACTGTCAACTGGAGAATCAATAATCTACTCCGATATTGTCACCCAGACGACAACGACGAGCACACTGAGTTTCAAAGTGGCTATCATGATGTCCCATTGAAGAGCATCGAAGGCTCTCTCTCATGCAGTGGGAACCAATCTCCTCCTCCACAGTCGGGATCATGACAGCAAGATTCAACTCAAAAGGAAGGAAGGAAAGTAACAATCATACAATGCTACGCTGTGCACCTACAAATAATGCAGAGCAAGAGAAAAAGGAGGAATTCTACAGACAACTTCAATCAACACTGGACAAGACGTCAGTTGGCGATATCAAATTTCTAATGGGTGACATGAATGCCAAACTGGGAGGGGACAACACAGGAAGAGAACCAACCATGGGTCGAGAAGTGCTCGGTGAGGTGATGAACGAGAGTGGAGAATTGTTTGCAGAATTCTTTGCATTCAACGATTTGGTGATTGGAGTCAGGCAGTGTGTTCAGGCACAAAGATATCCACAAAGCGACATCGATTTCACCAGACACCAGGACACACTAAAAATCAAATCCACTTTATCCCAATCTCAAGAAATGGAGACGCAGTCTACTTGACACAAGGTCAGGAAGAGGAGCAGATGTAGGTTCACACCTCTCACTATCTAGTGCAAGGAACCTTCCGAATCCAGTTGAAAGCCCTCAGTTCAAGGAAGCTGATGATAGAACAGAGTTCAAGTACAACACTCGGAAACTGGAGGATGAAACTACAGAGGAAATCTTCACGGCAGCCATCAAGACAAAATGGGAGATATCGAAATAAATGCACTCGAATTTCCTAGACAAATAAATATGTATGAACAGTGCTGTTTGTTCGTTGGCATAATTAGTTCCATTTACCTGTTGAAATATCATTTTGTTCACTAATATAGGAGCAACATTTAGATAAGTATTGGGAGCGATTCGAATGAGTCCTTATTTTGAGCACAGATTTAAGAGTAGTAGTCTCACCTCAGCATAAGATGTTTACGTCTGTTTGTATTGAGCACTTCATAATCTATGCTGTAAATGTTTGGTTTGTTTCGTAAAAGTTGAGGTTTAGTCTTTTTTCCCTGCCATTATTTATGCTTCTTGCAGACTTGAGTACTTTACAAAAATGATTTTTCATGAGATACGCTGGTATTTTCTTCGCTGTATTGGTTTATCGCATGCATTTAGGTAACTCCAATTACTTAGAAGTCCGAATACAGTTCAATATGGTATACAGGGCTGTTGAATGCACCTGTTTTTGACTGAACGGCAAATGTATCAGCGGAACACAGTTTTTAGTATTCTTCAAGTAGTTACTACAGAAACTCGGTTCTTTTTAGAAGTTTTACATTTCGAAGGGTGTGTGACGTTGAAATTATTCATTTCTTCATGGAAAGTGTTATGAAGCTTGTAATTACGTAAGAGATTGTCGAAAAATACGTTTCTACTACAACTTGTTCACGATGCAAGCAAACTGTAATGTTTCAATGTTCCTGTTTTCGCAAACTGTTCATCTTTCAGTGCTTTTCGTCATCAACCTTTCTGATCTATGACAAAATATAAGTACGACGTTAAACTTCACTGCGACCTGTTAGGTTATAGTGATGCGAACTATAAGTTGACTTTCATAATTAATTTGATCTGCATTAGTAAATGGCTAACTTCCATAGGTTTTAGTATTTTCAGTATTACTCAAGCTTGATAACGCGAACCATAACTAATATTTCAGCTGTTTTTACTTTTTGTTGTTCCTATAAAATAACATCTTACGTTCTAAAATTTCCTCGGAATAATGTCATAAACTTAATACCATTTTCAAAGAAAATTTAACAAAAACCTTAAGCTCAGACTTGAATTTAAGTGTGGTTGTCTGTCATCACTTCAGTTCATCTACACTAAAACTAGCAAAGAGTAAATATAAGTTCATTATGGACTTATGTTAATGAATATGTGCTACGTGATTTCGCTACACTCGTATGAAAATCAGCATAATCTGTCAGGGATGAGAATTAGTTACCAAAACTGAAGCATCATACAGGATATGTAAAGTTCAGATGCATATTCTTGTGTTACATTATATAAAAGGAAATATTAATTTGAAAGACTTTAATAGAGTGTCTTTTGAGTGTGGTATAAGCAGCGTGCTATTCCATCAAGCATGGTACTAAAGTTTATCGTCAAATGTACTTGTAGTAAAGAAATAAGTATTCATTCTATGGTTTACCTTTAAATTTAAATCTTAGCAGTCTTATGTTTCTATGGCACTTTATAGGTTCAGTTATCAACGACTAAATTTCTCTCACATATTGTTATTCTTATGAGCAGTTGTGGAGCCAGGTTAAAGAGACTGTAGAGAACAGAGTGAAATGGTGTCGTGCTATTGAAGCCCTATGTTCCACTAGGAACCCAAGGGAGAAAATAAATGAATAAAGATACTGTTATTCTTACGAGACCATGCACTTAATAGTACAATAGCGAGTGACGAATATGTATATACTAGTTAACTATTGTGCGTAAATAAGTCAACTTCAGGGAAATGGTCAAATACTTTGAAAATGAATGATAAAACCAGCTGTTTTACAAGAGTAGTATCTTTTTTATTGCATTATAACATACGTATTATATTTTGCATTATATACACAGAGGAAAGCTTATTGAAATTAAAAGTACGAGTAGGTGACGTCATGCTGCAAACCGAGAATAAACATGACCGTCGCCACATTCAGAATCACGATGTGTGCATTTATAAAAGTGTTATTTACCATTTTATAAAACCAGGTAAAGAGTAAACTGTATGTATAAACAACGGCATGCTTCTAGTAGTCTCAGTTTCCTCCCTGCTCGTATGTTAAGTAACACCTGACAGCAACAGACGTTTTTTTATGTTGAATTACTCTATTTTTAAATATAACAGTCATCTATATGAATACGTATACTTATTAAAGGATCCAAAAAAATGTGTTCATGAAAATGTGTTGTTAGAAATGTTCATTTACATTTTAGAAAGTGTACTGTTTCGCACTGCATTCAAGTTTTAAGTGTGAGTATCATGAATTTATATAATTTGTCGGTCATGCTAGCTGTCTGAGTTTTTAAATGCCTAGAAATATCTCATTCAGTGAATTCAAGAAACGTGTAAAATATATTACTATAAGCAGTCTTCAAGTTTCCTTCACTTCAGTTATAACCTCCTTTTACGATAAAAGTTTTGAATCCAAATTATGCAATAAATTGGGAAATGAATAGATTTTTGTAAAACCACTTTTTCGCATACCTGTAATGAAGTAGGTTGACGAACAACTGGAGGATTGTCTTCTGTAGAATAACTCATAGCGACAAAATTGTACTTTACGTTTAAGCAGAAAACCTTAAACTTTTTTCAAAGTTTCTATTTTTGAAAACATTTATTTCCGTCCTATTTATTAAAGTTAGATTTTTCTATCTTTCTATGATTGGCCGCAAATGTTTTGTATAATTGAACTTTTATTTGAAGCAAAAAAAGTGTTTACTTTGCTTCAGGATTGGACGAAAAATGCATTCCTCAGAAAAACATTGATTATTTCATTTAATGCTTACCTTGGGTCTCTAAAAAGGCGTCAGTTATAGCTATTTTATAAAATCAGAATAGAAGAATATGAAATGTGGCAACTAGAAGCAATCATTATATTACTACTTGATAATAAAATGTGTGATACTGCCTACTCAGAAAGTTTTCAATTCTTGTATTCATTACTTCAAATGTTAACATGTATTTTAGGGAATTACTAGGTTACTAAATAAAACTGTAACTGAATGAAGAGTTATGAGATTCAATTAGATAATACTGAATTTATGATTAAAAGTGAACATCGTGAAAATGGGATAAAAAGGGCATCTTCTTAAGCAGATTAGCATGAATTGTTCTTAAACACTCGTGCTTTTTAGAAGAATATTCCAACAGTTCATGACAGTTTTTGTATTAGAGATCTTGACCACGTGCTGTCCAACGAAAAACTCAATGAAACTACACTGGAGTATTTCAGAAACCACTGAGCTGTGACAATCTTTGATGTGAACCATACAATCTGTAAACAATATGTTAAATGATCATCCTATTCATGGCTTGCCTGTCATCCATGTCAAGCAGCCAGATTCAGTTCGTCTAAGCATTTCGACTCTGTAGCTAAATTTTTGCGAGTAGACCACTGATGAACTCGATGTCAAACGAGTGTAATGGCCTTCCAGTGTTCAGACCACTCTGATATGGCTATTGAAATATTTGCAGGTAAGCGTGAGCTGTTCCTAACTACTCACTTGCTTGTTATTATATTACGATAGTAATGTCATGCCTTAGTGTGATAGTAGATATTCTGATGTCTAAGTTTGAGGTTTCATTGGCAAAAAGCGGTATGCTTAAATTGTGGGCTGCCTAAAGATTTTCCATGAAATTTATTTCATCAAATTCTTCCCTTTCAACTTGTTTCAGTGTTAAATACGTTGTTTAAAAGCGTGAAACACTCTTGCACACACCTAAAATGGTTTCAAGCTGTTCTTTTTCAAAGTAATAACGGTAACAAACAACACACCTTTAAGAGATGGGTTTATAAATGGACAGAAGTACAATATGTTACAATTCCTTGAATAACTGTGTCGAAGTGCAGATTTGTATTCTGGCTGAATAAACTACTGCTGTCAAAATTACGCTTGATAATCCTTTTATTCATTAGTCTAAACCAGAGTCTATTGAAATACCAGATGTCTACTTGACAATGTAGCTTTTATTACTGTTATTATCAGCATTATTCAAATGTACTGATCAGTTCGCCTAAGGATAGTGAAGAGGGAATGAATTTAATGAGGCATTACAGACTGAGAATTCCAAACTCTACTACGAGATTTAATTGGCATAAAAATATCATTTTAATAAACATTAAGTTTCCTCTTCATTTTCTGCGAGTAGTCAGTAACGATTCAAAATAGATTTCGAAACATTATTTCTTTCGAGACTGAACTTCATATGTTATGCATAAATAATATTCCTAAGCGACTAAAATTTCAAATACCTCAGACATACAATGGAGTTCATGTATCACAAGTGAAATAACATGAATTATTAGTTCTTTTCAGTTCTACATCATTCGAAAATGAATAGTAGCTTAATGTGGATTAGTTACACATCATTTTTAAGCCTATTAAGAAATGTACACCTAAAACTCTGTTACGCCAATTCCTGTCGACCTTAACACGCATTTGTTTTAATAAACCTTAATCCTATTTCATTTCATCAATCTGCAGATTTATTTTAATTATTTTATCTACCTAAGTTCTTATTCGTATATTACGGAAACGTTTCGATTATATAAATGAGAGTCACAACATGCATTTAAAACGTTACTTCATCCAGACAAAGTTTATCGAGATAACATGTGACTGAGGAACTGTTGAGAAGCTGCGTCCATTTACTTGTATTTTCTCTATTGTTCAGTTTGAAAACCTAATTTTTAACCTCGACATATGCTGTAATCAGTCTTCTTTCCTATTTATACCAAACGGTAATAGGAACATGTGTCAGTAAAAATGGGACCTCAATAACCCTAGTTTTCCCAAAGTTATGTGTGCAAATAAAAGTCACTGATATATGGCAACAATTAGTATGTATTTGAAGATTTAACCATCAAAATATTTTAGTAGAAATTGTTTACCGTTAATGGTACCAGAGGGTATCAGAAACGTTATGATATAATTGACAGAGACTATGCAAAGTAATCTTCAGGCTAGGAGATCTCTGCATCTTAGTTTCATGGATTCACCGCTAAACTGTTGATGCTACTCAAAGAGATCGGTGATAAAGTTTATTGTATTTGTTACATATATCCCAATTATCATCATTGTGGCCTTGATAGCCGAAATTGAAAGTAACACACATTTCAAAAATTGTACACAGACAACTACAAAGTAATGCAGAAAACAACTAGCTTCCTACTAAAGACTTACTATAGTATAGCTTGAAAAAACAAGTGATAAGTAGATTAACTGTGAAAATCGTATGATGTGTCCACAGAGGCTATAAAATGATGCTTTAGGCTTCAGGATCAGAATTCGACTTGATAGAAATGAGAAAGTTTAGCTTTGCACAAATGGCTAAATCTAAGATTCGTATGATTTTAATCCCTAAACACCGCAATTAAATATTGGAGAGAATGAAACAACAATAAATTATGGTGCTGTTTCACTGCACACTGGTATTTCCATTGCAAAATAATTAGATTCCAAAGGTGAATTACTGGAGAGTTATCAAATGTTGCCAAACCGATTTCCTTTGAGTCTCAAACTGATCATGTAGGCATTTAAACTTTCTTTGGATTCAAAACGTCCTACTTTTGGAGGAAAATTATGTAGACAAACAAAGGGTGTAGCAATGGGTCCTTCGGTGCCCCATATGCTTGCAAAACTCTTCATGTCTGATATCGAATCCATGATCTTTGCCAACTCTATCAAACCAGATATTTAGGTCATTAACAATTTTAAAAATATCAACCCTGAGGACTTTTTCCAAATTAACTAATACCTGTTCTCCATATATCAAATTAACATGTAAATATGAAAATGCATTCGGTGAAGTGCCATTTTTAGACTGTTTAGTTAAAATAATTGGAAATGAAAATCAAAGTTCACCAACGTGCCAACAAATTGAAGACGATATTCGTTAAGCTTTCACTTGCTCTGAACGTGGTCAGGAGCGCCACAAAGCTGTTCAAGAATAAAGATGAAATACAGATGAGAGTAGAAGGAATAATAGACGTCTCACTAACTATAGCCACCCTGAGAATATTATAAAGAATATTTAAAACCAAGAGCATAAAAGTCGAAGAAAAAGTCACACGATGAGCCTTGGATCAGCATAAGAGTTTAACCTTTCTGTAATCGCTTTTTATGCCCTCTTCCATAACTACAAAAATACATTTTCAAACTAAAAGGAAGAGAAGATAGCTGAGTTGTTTCACACCATGCTGAATTATAATGGGATAAGCAGAATATGCGATAATTTCAGAGTAATGGGATATGATTTAGGACTGAATTATTAGTGTTTGATAGAGTTGGTGTTGTAGGTGGATGAAATCATAGAAAAACGACGGAGATGATAATATATCAGGGATGCATACGTCAGCAGGCACAGTTAGGTTGTACGATAGTTCCGGTAATTAAGTTGAAACTGAGCTATTATTCACGACAAACGTGATGTATTACTAAATGTAGAAGTAAGCGATACACCAACTCCTAAGATATGCAATGAAAAAGCAGTAAATTACTGAGGTAATACAAAGCAGAACAAGAACTCATTCACCACTCAAAGATAAGACGAGGAGGCGAATATTCACCGCTTCTGCTACACAAAAGAATTTGCTTTGCATCATTATTAATAACGGAGAACAGAAGTTTATACCAAGGAAATATCTACGACTAGAAGACAGCTACTCAGTAACAAAAAGTAGCATATTGAAATCATCATAAATATTGAGTGGTCACGCCTGTAAGATTATGACGAACATGCCTTCGCCAAAATATGGAATCCATCTTCACCTAAAACATCCTACCTTAGAATGTATTGGTGTTTATCCTAAACCCTTACATAGTAGACCCATTCACATTTGGTTAGAATGAAATGAAATGCACCTGACATATTGCAGTCTGTAAACATGCTCGGTCCAACTTTTGATAAATTATCCAAGCCAACTAACTGCATGAAATGCACTGCTCAACAAAAAGGCTTGCGTAGGCCAGGGTTTCGTGTTTTGTTCATCAGAGAAGAACAGGTTCACAACCTTAAATCTCACAAATTTCGAAAAGATACTCAGTGTTGAGGATAACCGGCATGCAAATGCATAGTGCTTCTGGGTACATAAAATATGGAAATGACAATATGTGATATTGGATGCTCACATTCTTCCCTATGAACCATACGTTTACATCCACTTGACACAGCAAGACATCGGAGTGCACATCTCGCAGAAATACATCCAGCTATGGCCTGCTTTCTGATCGCCTCACTACACTCTTGAGATATATTCCTATACTAGCCAATACGAAAGCCAGCCTGCATTAAAAACAGGAGGATGATGGCAATGGCGTCTGCAGTAATCAGAATACATTTCGACGCCGTATTTGAATTTGCTTTGACCTAAACGCTGATGGGTTAATAGGCTATGACAATCAATTTACGAAGGGACTTACTGGTTTTGGTGGAGAACAATGAAAATCTATTCGACCTAGAGCAACTTCAAAAGCGGTTCAATGAAAATCGATGTGGGAATTGCAATATGCGGTTGTTATCTATCTAGTTGACCACAATAA